TTTATTCAATTTTTCATAATTTGATATTATTTCAAAACTTTATGTTAATGGTTTTTTTATTTAAATTTGATAGTGATGTTTATTCAAGAAATTCTAATTTGTGAGTTATGATATTATTGTTGATGATTTCTGTAAATTCAAACTTGATAGTTTATTTATTAAAAACCTTTTGATCTTGCATCATAATGTTAGAATTAATCGTAGCTCAATTAATAGAAAATTTATCTTTCTTGTGGCATAAAAGACTAGGTCAATATTTAGTGAAATGTTAGAAAAATTAATAAATGATGTGATTCTTCTAAATCTAAACTTTACTAATTTTGGTATGTGTGTGGATTGTATTGAGGGTAAACAAACCAAACACACAAAGAAATGAGTCACAATAAGTACATAATTTCTTGAAATTATTTATACAGACATTTGTAGACCTTCTAATGTTCTATCTTTTGGAAGAGAAAATTATTTTATCGTCTTTATAATTGATTTTTCACGTTATGGATATATCTATTTGTTGTATGAAAAATCTCAGGCAGTGGGTACTCTTGAAGTATACATAAATGAGGTTGAAAAATAACTAAATAGAAAAGTGAAAATCATAAGGTCATATAGAGGTGATGAATATTATTAAAAGTATGATGAAACGGGTTAATACTTTAACCGTTTGTTAAACTTCTTGAAATGTATGACATTTGTGTTTAATACACTTTGCTATACATGCCACAGCAGAAGCGTGTAGTTGTAAGGCGTAATCGTACTATTATGGAATTGGTTAGGAGTATGTTAAATAATTCCTCGTTACCCATAATATTGTGGATGTTAAGTAATCTAAAGGGTACAAGTTTTACTATCTTAAACATAGTATGATTATTATTGAAACCGGTAATGTCAGATTCATTGAGAATGGTAAAGTCAGTGGGAGTGATAAAAATAAGAATGTGATCATTTAAGAAATTATGGTATAAATTTATTTATTCATAACTTCTAAAGAAATAATTGTTCCTTCAGTTGTTGAACCGTATAATAACAAAAAATAATTGAATGATCAACAACTCCATAATGAGATTGTTACCAATGAATAGATTGTAAAAGAACCACAAGGAATAACATTAAGACGATCTCAAAAAAGAGATCTGCTATTCCAGATAATTATGTGGTATATCTGCAAGAATTTGATTTTGATTAATTTTCTGAATGGGGTTTAGAAAGAGGAAGTTTATATGGAACACCCTAAAGGCTTCACATTATAGAGTAAATAATACATGTCTGTAAACTTAAGATGTCAATATATGGACTTAAACAAGCTTAACGATAATGGTATATTAAGTTAAATGATACTATTATTTCTTTTGGTTTTAAGGAAAATACTGTTGATCGGTGTATAAACCAGAAAGATAGTGGGAGTAAGTTTATATTTATGATTCTATATATATTGATGATAGTTTGTTTACTAGCAGTGATCTTAGTTTATTATATGGAATTAAAAATTATCTATAAGAACTTTGAAATGAAATATATGAATGAGGCATCCTATGTGATAGGAATAGAAATATTCCATGATAGATCACGCGAATTTTTAGTATTATCTCAGAAAGCATTTATTGAAAGGATTCTAGAAAAATTTGGTATGAAAAATTATTCAACCAGTATTGTTCCATACATAAAAGGGGATAAATTCAGCTTAATGCAGTCCCAAATAATGAGTTAGTTAAGAAAGGTAAAGAAACGAAAAATATTCCTTATACATATGTTGTTGAGTTTGGTGTATATACAAGTTGGTAGGGGATCAAAGATTATATGCTCATACTTTAGAAAGACATTTTTATGAATATGTGGATAATAATTAATTCGCAATTGGTTATTTGTTCCTTTTGGCTGGAGGAACAATATTATAAAAAAGTGCAAAGTAATTTATTACTTTGACTATTATGAATTTTTAATTTGTAGCATGCTTTGAGGTTACAATTTATGGTTGCAGAATTTATTTCAGGACTTGGAGTTACATGTACCATTTTCAGATTACTGAAAATTTATGCTACAATTATTGATCTTTTTGTAAGAAAAATGATAGGTATTCTAAAGTTGAAATATTTTATCATTAAAGAAGATGTTTAGAAATAACAAATGTCTTTTAAACATATAAGCACACAACTTATAATTGCAATCCATTAACGAATGGAATACCACCCAAGACATTTATGAACATGTTGAAAGAATGGGTCTTGAATGTAGTCAATGTTGATTATTTTTTACTTGTGGACTGCTTAACAGTGCTTATATATATTTGACATTTTGCGCTCATTAAATGTATTTCTAATATTTTCTATTAATTAATGTACATGTATGTATTACTTTAATAAGTGGTAATAGGAATAGTCTTGAAAAAGACATTATTGATACTTCTCATTTATAGACTATGTTGAATAGGTTACTAGTTTTGTGGTACATGTAAGGAACTATGTCATTTAGTGATATATAACCGCCATGACTCGCATTGATAATTTATTTATTATGGTATTTTTGATGACCAACTTAAGGACTCAATTTGATTTATGGTGCACATTAATGACTATTTTACTAAACCACTACAAATGTTATCATATGGGCCAAATGGGAGAATGTAAGATTGTTTATTAATTGTGTGACCCACACGTTTTGGACATGTGATATATTTCATTAATTAGTGGTTAACTAAATAGGTATCAGATTAATATTATATTATTTGATCAACTTATAATTACCTTTATGGTAATTAATTATTGGAGAAGTATTTTTCTATTTATTCTTTATTTTGATGGAAAGTGGAATTAATGTTACTAAAAAGGAAAACTGGTCCTCTCTCTACTTTTATAAAAGTACATATATCCCATCAATTATGTACGCTAATGATACAACACGTAAAGGAGAGAGAAACCAGTTTCCACACTTTGCCTATTGATCAGAGTTGCAGTTTAGTTCATGGCAGAAAGGATCTCGATATTGGACTTGATCTCTATGATATTTACAATCACAGATCGAGAAATTTATATCTAACTATATTTATTTATGCATTATAGGTATGTGAGAATAATGAAATTCTAAGATTTGGGATTCATGCTTATTTGTGATGAATAGTTGAGGGCATAAATTATAGTTTACACCCTAAACTCTCAAAAAGCTTTGATTGCCACTTGAACAATAAGTTGAGGGCATGAGGATTCACCACGAAATACTAACCCATTCCTAGTTTTCCAGATTGCCCAAACTAAAAACGCCGCCATGCTACCAGCCTCATGACCACGTTTACACACATCCCCCCACCATTCGACAACATATTGAAAATCACCTGACAAACAATCAATTCAAAGGGGAGAAATCTTCCACACTTGAATAGATACCTTACACCGAAAAAGCAAATGCTCCACTGTTTCAGGTCCATCCCCACAAACCCAACAACAATCATCTGTAGATAGACCTCTGCTCTTCAATGCAACATTGGTTGGAACCGCCCCATGGACACATTGCCATAAAAAGTGCTTAATTTTAGGAAGACACCGACATTTCCATATAAGTTCCCAGCTCTTCGACACAATCGGCCTCCTGTTTGACTGCACAAAATTCAGAGACCTGGCCACATGATAAGCCGATTTTACCGAGACAAGACCAGAGTTCATGAAACCCAGCTTTGTCTATCTGCAAGACCATGCACACTAATTGGGACTCGTCTAATGGCATCCATCACATCAGCAGAAAAAAAATGATTAAGCATAAGGAGATTCCATGAATGAGAGTCAACATGAATAAGGTCCGCCACTTTCTGAAACGTGTCATCATTTTGTGGACAAGGCAATGTCGGCATAGATGACACCCACCAGGTTATTCCAAATATTAACAGAATTACCATCATCCACAATCCAACGCAACCCTTTTGAAAATAGGCTTAATTGACTAAATGCTACGCCATGTCCAGGATGGATTAGAACCCAAGGAAGGTTCCATAAAAGAATATCTTCAGAAATATCTCGCCTTAAAAAGCTAGTACACCAAACCGGATTTACACACTGGAAATTTCCAAGCCTGCTTTGCCAGAAGGGCTGAATTGTAATCCGCCATATCACGAAAACCCAAACCCCCTTCATTCTTACTCTTACACGGCGTATCCCATGAGGACCAATGAACCACCCGAGAATTAGGCTTTTTACACCACCAAAAAGATTGGATATTCTTCATAATTTACGTGATTATTGATGGTGAAATTTAGAAGTAAATGCAGTGAAAGAGTGCACCGCAGCAACTGCCTTGCGAAAGAGTGTATTGGGGAGGATTTAGGTCCATTCTGTCACATTTAAAAAAAAGATAGAAAAGCACCTATTCTCGTGTTGGGGACACGAATGCCACTTCATATAAGTGAAGTCCTAAAATAAAAATTTTAAGGCGGCCTCCAATACTACATTATCACCTTTACTCTTATGCACATTTTAATTTAGTTATACATCACATTGTATACAATCGTAATGCACTGAACACACCTTTTTTTTTCGTTCCATCCACCTATACATTTGCACACATTGGCACATAACACCCCTACTCTTCTCCAACCAAACAACACGCACACAATAGCTAAACATTAATATTAGAAGTGACGTGTAACTTATGGCAGTGACATACTGGTTTCGGCCAAATTCCACGGTTTAATCTTTCGTTTTTTAACCAACAGGCCAGACTGGCCTAACGGCATTCGAGTCCGTGGAAGCATGATATGTGAGTACCAACTAAAAAAATATCCTTCATTTTTGTGTTTTTCAATTCTATAATATCACACTTTGGTATGTTACACTGCCTTCCTTAAAAACCAGACAGAAGACAGTAAAAAGGATAGAGACCCCACACAATTAGAGGATTCCTCATCTCCTCCATCAAATCCTTTGTCTGTCCTCTACATCCAACAGCCAAAACGACTAACAACAGTGGTTTAAAAAAAAATAATAAAGAAGCAGCAATCTCACATTACTAAAGCCAATGGGTAGATATAGACAATTTTTTTATTTAATAAAAGTTCTAGGGTACCAATCACACACCAGTTTCACCAGTTTCATAAATAAGGAACCTGAGAAAACTAAAAAGCATCATAATATACTTCCACTACCAACATTTATTTATAGTATATACTATCCATATAGATATAAGAAGGAAGCTTCTAATAAGACTAGGCCATCTTTCCGGTAACAAGATCCATCACCACGCGCTTTATACTTCCATTGTTTTTCTTTAGCAGCCTCTTGTTCATTTCTTTATCGGAGAAACCCTGCAACCATAGTTCACATTTACAATGCAATCAGGGAAAATAAAACTTATGCACCAAACCAGACAAAATGAGTTCACTAAGATTGACTAACCATATCTTGCAGCTCCTTAAGAATAGGATCCCACTCGGACACAGCACTACAGAGATCGTCCACTGATTGCTCCAAATCATACTCATTCCTCCTCAAGATCTCCTTGTTTAAATCAACCTGCTTGAAGCCCATTTCCTGAAGTTCTCTGAGTAGGGTCTGCTCAACAACGTCGTTTCCACTGCTGGTATCTTGAGCAGACGACGGCACATTTGTAACAGGGGATGGTTCATGGGGAGGCATAGTTGGAGGCATAATTGGTGCTACTTCAGATAAATCAATCATGGGATATGACACTGGTGAATAAGCCATTGCAGGAAAGGGATTTGAAACCCCATCACCAACTAGCAAAGTATCATTGATGGGGAAATTCAGCTCCGGGTCCTTGTTGGTGTGTTCCTCACCTATTGGCTGGACTGACTCAATGGCACTCTTGTCAGCCTCCAAAATGCTGCCTTCCTCCATAGGCTCAACACTCGAATCTATAATTTCTGGGCTAGTCATATCATTGCTGTCAGGTGGCAGATTCAAGTTGAACCCATGGATGCTATTGCCCGTGTCCTTCATTGCAGCATCAACCTGTATGTTTGAAGAAAGAATTAGAACCATATCTAAATGTTAGAAATATGCCAACATTGACAAGCAAGGGAAAGATGGCACTAAGACCTGGATGAGAACCCAAACACGTTGCCCAAATTTTTGGCCAGATGGAGAGGCCATCCTCCAATACGAGATGTACCGACCCGGTAGTTCAGGAGAAGTAAAATTGACTGCAATGTCAAGCTCATTGTCCACAGGCAATCCATCCGATGGAATCTGGCATGTGTTAAGAATCATTACAACAAGCTTATCCGAGAAATAATCAGTTAATATAGTATATAACTAATTAAGAACTAAGAACTTTTGTCCAAAAGAATCTAAAGAACACACAACACAAAAATCATACAATACTAATAGAAGAATGTAAAGATGATTAGCATTTAAACATGCTTACCTCTACCTCAACCGAAAGAGTATCACTTAACTTATCTCCACCTATCCACAAAAGCTGTGTTCCTTCAGCCCACACCATATTACCATTGTTCCGCATCCGCCAAATCTTGGTAAATGGGGTTAAGGGGGCCATGACAGTACCGTCCATGATATTAACATCGCGAATAAAACGACCGTCTAGTTTGACTTGGTACGATTTCATTGGACAACCTCTTCTCAAGACTTGTGGTACTATTGGTGCTATTGGTGGATGCACGCTCGGCTGCTGCATCTGGAGAAAAAAATAATGATCAATGTAACAGAAAAAATGAAGTTTAAAGTAACAAATAACTGTGGGAAAGAGATAAACATAATATTAAATGAATGGTTTTACATACAGGATACCATGGATGATGATGTGAAGCGGGACGGTCCATCCGAGTGATTATCCGAGTGTAATCAGCTTCATTTCCCATTTGTGCAAAGCAGATGCTGCACAGGTCAAAATCCTCTTTCCTGCAAAAAGAAAGGAAGATAAACTATATTTTGGAAACATCTTTACCAGTTTAACAGAAAATATTTCATAATTTCTTACACTTTGGATTTGAACCGTGGTCCAATGATTGGATGAACACCACAGCCATCACATTGAACACCCCTATGGACAACGCAGCTCAAGCCATCATCACTGTTCTTGTAGTAGTAGCTCCTTTTAAATGGATGCACACGAGCACAAGTAGCAGCTAAGTCATTTGCCAGAGGCATCCCTGTAAATGGACATTCATTAAAAGGATTCACACCAAGATGTGACATTGAGGAGCTCCCAAAGTTACTAGGGAATTGGTTGCTTATACCGGCATTCAAATTAGTAATAAGCTGGGAATCTGGATTACAAAGCCTGGGAGGACCAAAAGAAGACTTCTTCATATCCTTCTTCATATCCTTGATGTTATCAGCAGCAATAACTTTAGGTGCAACTGGCGTGAGATTAACAGAGGTGGAACCAACAGACTTCCCAATCAGATGACATTCGCCTGACTTCTTAATCTCATCCTCGTCATCAACAGTATCATTAACAAATGCACACCCAGAGAGAAAAGAATCACCAGAGGGGCTAGCGTTAAGATTCACAGGGCCAGAGGCTGGTATATCTGAAACTGATGCCTCAATTCCATTGGTCACTTCTGCAAGGTTCACATTCTCAGTGATTTTAGAAGCTGGTTCTTCAGGTTTTGAGTTTGGCAACACCTCTGGAGTAGCCTTTTCATCCATTTTAGCCTTGGGATATTTACTTGCTGGTGCTTCCGTAGTAGTTCTTCTTGAACCCTCACCATGTGTGCTAGATGCTGAGCCAACCTGAAACTCAGAAACTGAATTCAGGTGGGATTGTCCAATCTTTGAATAATGTTCAATAATTTCAGCGATCATTGGAGCAGAGGGTGTAGCTTTAGACGTAAAGTCTAATGGCAGTTTTGAAAGTACTTTACGGACCGGGTCAGGTAAAGATCTCAAAATTTCAGTAACACCAGTGCTAAAGATTGGTGATGGATTCTGTACGCGAGGTGATCTCATGGGGGTAGAACTTCCACTAGATCTAGCATAAGACCTACCACCCTTATCTGAATTCAACTTTACAGTAATCCTCAAGGGATTCAGGGACTGCCTCATCACATCATGCAGATCTTCTTCATCAACAAGGGTTACTACATCGCCATCTTCATCCACATACGTAAGCGTAAGATCCACATCAGGAGCAAAATTAAATAGACTAAGGACCTTCTCTCTCAACCCATCCATGTCAAGGTCCAGTTGTTCATTTTCATCAACATGTGCAGTAAAGCGCCTAAGTGTTTCTCCATATTTGACCTGAGCAATATACCCATAGACGTTTTAAAACAAGGTAAAAGCTAAGATGTAAAATGGTACCAAATATAGATGACCAAATAGACCCTCCCCCAGGGGGAGACATGTCCAATTCAGAGGTGGTAAAAAATATAGCAAAAGAATAATGTATTTGCTAATATAATCATACGTTACCCTTATTACAATAATTATAAACAAGAAAAAATGATTGGTAAGCTTTTCTTACTAATGCTAAACAAACCCATTTCTTTTTATTTATAACATGAGTAGTGAGATCCACATGAAAAATACATGCGGGCCCACTCGTATGTGTCTACAGATTAAAAAATTGGTGAGGAGCCAAATTGTATAGCATTTTCCTTCCTTTATTTTTTCAAGAAAAGTCTAGTGCTGCAACACAACCCTTGGGCTCAGGGATCATGAAGATCCATCACCATTCTCCCTAAACACAATGCTACCCGTTAAAGAGAATATTCAAGGCTCAAGATCTTCAGCAAGTTCTAGAGAAATATGATAATAAATTATTAAATTTTGTAAAATGCCAGAACTTGCTCAAACCTACTTTACTGATCTTAAATATGTAAAGCATCCAGATGAGGTGAACTCAATTTTTTAAGACAGTAAACTCCCTGTAGAGAGTAGAACAGGGGTCCAGAAAATTTGTACATGATATTACTTTTTTAAGTACTTAAAAATTTTCATTCATGAGAGAATTAACAATAGCCCTACCCAAGTGTCAGTAGAGGTTCTTAATTATCCATGAAATGCAATTAGTGTTGTTGTAAATATATACTTGATTCACGTTCTTACAAAAAAGACCCACGGTGCAAAAATTAGTACATTTGAGCATTCAGAAAAATAACAGCTTTTATTTCTACTGTATCATTACGTGAGAACTAAAACTGCAGGAATAACAGAACTTGTCTTAACTACTTGTAAACAGAAAATCAATATTTGAATTATATAGAAGTCTTCAGATAGAATGTAATGCACCACTTAAAAAATGGTTTCGAACCGCCTATAATTCTCTAGATCTGCAAGCTACCACGACAAGAAAGTAACAGATGTTTGTGAAAAAGATATCACAACTGAATTTTGTTCCTCGAAGGGGAAGGTAAGAGGAGTCCAGCCCCAACATGGGGGTGTGCATTGCTTACATAATAGAACAACCGATTACAGGTTGACCCAAAACCCACCAAGGGTACCAACAGAAACCCTAACCCTAACCCTCATCCTGATTGTATAGACAACCAAGAAAAGTTTTTTCTCTCTCGTGCATCATATAACACAAACCCTAATATCCATAATTAATTCCGTTCTCCTCAATTTTATCACCAACACAACAACAAAATCAATCAATTGAACTACAAAACACAACCATACAAACACAAAGCATCAATAATAAAGCAACACAGATGACAATCACAATCGAACAAAGTGCCAAACAGCAATCTATACGATCCGAAAAAATCAAAGCGACAACAGTAGAATACACCGAACCTTAATCACAATAGTTGACTCCATGGGTGTGAACCTTCAAGGACCGAAAGGGTTTTTGTATATCTCAACTGAAAATAATAAACGAAACCCTAACCCTAGAACCGATGGCGATTAGGAGGAATCGTTCAAAATTCAGAGCGATATGATCGGTGAGAACAAATAGAAAGATTGGTTTTTTTTTGGAGATATATATCTCAATTTTATTCACGCACTCCACGCGTAGCCATGAGCCGTATCTCTCACCACTCTCCCTCTTTCTCTCTCTAGAATGGTAATGTCACTAGCCTTCTGCTGTGTGTGTATATATAAGTCTATATATAAGAATGGATATATATATATATATATAGCGTCGTACGGAGTTGGGTTTTCTTCTTCCCAAAGAAAAATTCGAGACGAAGGAAACAAAAGTCGTTTCAATCCCATTTGAAAAATGGTCCAGGTTCATTGTAAGAACCGTGGACATCATGTACGCGCTTAACCTATTGGGTGGAACTGTAATGGTTTTTGTTTTTTTGTGTGCAAGTGGTGGCCACGTATGCATTGTAAGAATCTTTGCTTGAAGTTGGATACACTGGATTTAAACTCGCTTAGGAAATACCACGCGGTGGGGGCTTGATGCGGTGGGACTAAGGATTACATGGGTTGATGGAGTAATCACCGTCGGATGGGTCAATGAACACTTCTATCAAGCGCCCAGAACTCTTGATTTTAGGTAGCGTTTGGAGGGCTTAGGTTCCCAAAAGGCATCTTGCTTTCCTTGCCCTCCATTCACGAGTAAAATAATTTCACTTTACCATATTACCCTCATGTGATGAAGATGAATTTAAATTCAAGGATAAATTACACTTAGACTCCTGAGATTAGGTCATTTTACAATTAGATTAACATTTTGGTTTTAGATTAATACTTTTGAGGTGTTAAATGATTATACTACCCTTTCACCTCTTGTTGATTATTTTTGTTTACCAAATTACCTTAGCATACACCTTCATCTTCTTCCTCCTCATACTATCATCATCCCCAATTCAACCTTAAACAGAACCACCGGACCACCACCACCACCCAAAACAAACTCCTCAAAATTACACACATATATCTATATAAATATATAAAACAGCCAAACATATATATATATATATATACATAAAATTACACACATATCTATATCTATATATATATATGTATAGATATATACACACAAAATTACACACATATATATACACACATATAAACAGCCAAACAAGCGTCGGCCAGATCGATGATAGGGGTTTGGCCTTGAATATCCATTCTCAACAACCTCATGCGACACCAGATCGGTAGCGGTAGAGCTTGCCGAAAACATGGATGGCCGTGAAGAAGCCAATGAAGCAGAAGGCTCCGGTGCAGATGATGAACCAAGCTCCGTCGAATGGTTCTGGCGAAGGAGCAGGGGGCGCAGCCGAGCTGATTCGGTAGGGCGGAGAAGGCCGAAGTCGAAGATCTTGAGGTTACCGGCTTCGTCGAGGAGTCCGCGGTAACAGTACCGGCAAGGCGTCAATCACCGATGCGAGGCACAACGCGGCGCCGATCTGCAAATTCATTCTCGCCATCGCAAATCAGCTCCAAAATCACACACACAATCCTAATCCCAACTCATCACCAATCGTCGCTACCATTAAAACCACCATTGTCCTAAACGCCGCTGCCTCTATTTGCTTGCCAATTACTGTTGGGATTTATATGCCCTGGCATAGCAAATTCTTGTTTGGATTAAAGTGACATATGTTCCTAACGTTTCTGAAATATTTATATTTTATACAATTGGTGAATTCAATGTATTATATTTCGATTCATTATAGAATTGATAGTGTCCATTTGATTACAAGAGATATTTATATATATGTATGTGATGGCAATCAATGCATGATATATAAATAGTAATCATAAATGGTTCATAATCGGTAATTATGGATGGACTCATAATTAATTAAGATTTGAACTGGATCCGCGTTAGGTTGAGATATATTGTGAGAGTTGTCGTATGCAATTGCTCCATATCACCGTCATGGCATTTGACTCTTAAGCATGAGAAAATTATAGACTTTTTTATTAATTAATAATTACTTTGATTTGTTCGGCGGATTCTTCGGGATCCTTAGACCGACACTTTGGGTAGTTATGTAATTAATAGTTAGAGGGTTATATTTTCAATATTTGCATCATTGCTACTTGTATTTATTTTGTATTGATTATGGTTGATCACAAAGTAAATTCGAAGGCCTTCGTGTGTTTTTAAACAAAATGATTTATTATATATTTATTTATTTAAATTATTATTTTTGTCAAACAAATGTTTTATTGTGATCAAGCTAGAAATAATCAATGGTACCAAAATAAATATATTAATTAAGTAGTCGGATTGATAGCTTTATTTATCCGATAACTAATTATACATAGAGGGGTCAAAGTGCAATATTGACTTAGAGGTTATTTATTATTTAATTGGAGTTCAATTAATTTCTTTTAGTGGAGTAGAAATTAATTTATGAATTGATTGAATTGGGTCCATGAACCAGGCCAATTATTAATTCATTGTAGCCAATAAAATAATAAGCCCAAAGGATTCTCACTCACAGCCCAACTTGATATTGGAATCATATTAGATTTGAGACATGTGAATTAGAGATTGAGAATGATTAGTTGTTTCATTTTCTTTACCTTTATGTTGCCTATAAATATACATGGTCTATGTATATTTTAGGTGTAATGTTAGTAGAAGGAAAAAACAATATATTTTCTCTTTCTAGAAAATTAGGTTTATATTCTCATCTAATGGAGGCTCCCACAAGCATAATTTTCGAAGATCATTCATGGAGGCTTATGAGTAATTCCTAAAGGCAAAACAATTACCAAAAAGATGGAGATCCAAGGATAAGGCATCTTGCTAAAGGATCTACAATAAGTGAGAACATTCACTTTAGAGGAAAGATTTAAAGGTTTACTCAGACCTTTGATGCAAGTATTCAATCCATTAATTGAATGATACATCATATTTTTATTTTTGCATAAAACTTGTCTCTATGTGATAAATCAAGATCTATGAATTAAAATCCCTCAAAAGTTTTTAAAACTTGCACGTTTCCCAACAATTACCACCACCGAGGAGATGGGGGGTATGTCAAGATTATGATGGTTCTCAAATTTTAAATTAAAGATTGGATTCCGGCGAGGGGTACGAGGTTGTTGACGAGGACCACCACTATCATATATACATACAATTTTATTTATTTATTTATTTTGATGTGTGAAGTTGCAGAGACGGGTATGAAAATGAGTTTGTGGTTTGTGTGTTTTTTGATGTGTGAAGTTGCAATGATGGGGCTGAAAATGAAAATAAAAAATGGGGATTTGATGGTCTAAGCACCGCGACCAGCGGTGGTAGTTGGCGGTGATGAAGATTTTGACATTTACAAACATTGTGTATATATGTGTATATACACAAAGGGGGTAAAAGGGTCAAATTGCATGTGTCAAGGTCAAAAAGTAAATTGGGGTGTAAGTAAAAGTTAAAACCAAAATTTTCATCTACCTAAAATATGACCTAACCTTAAGGGTGTCTGTGTAATTTACCCTAAATTAAATCATATACGCCATGAAGTTATTTATCTACTAGAATGACTACACCAACTTGTGTTCCATTGAGTGCACCTATACATCCCTAAACATAAATTGTGATATGTCATAACAATTGTTGAAGATGTTACACATCCATAATCATGAAAGAACTTTTAAAATAAAATTCTATTGAAGCAAAAGAACCCAATGCCAACGTTTGTAAACTATAAAATTGTTGAAGATGACCAGACTTCCGAAATTTCAATGTTTATACTTTTGAAACTTAAAGATGATCAAACACGAACTTGATAATCCAAAAAAGTACAAACTTCTGAGGCAGATATTCACTTTCCTTAAAAGAAACTTAGATTCGTGATAAGAAATTTTATGTTGAAAATTCTTTCAAAGTGAATTATGTGAAGGGAGGTAAATCAAATAAATATCAGAAAAGTCTCAAGTTAAAAAAATAAAGGAATTTTCAAAAGAAACTATCCTTATAAGAATAAAAAGCCTCTTAGACTATGTGTTCCATTGTGAAATGAAAAGGCATTTTATTTATGATTGGAGGTATAAGAAGAATGAAAAGAAAAAGACTGTCAACAATTCAAATAGTGCTAATATGATGGAAGAAAAGATAACTGATCTTGTTGCTATGGTGTCGACAATGCAAATTGGCATGATTACTGAATTGAACATGGCAACAACAACCAAGTCTCAGATTGGTGGCTTGATTCGACTACTATTCATATGTGTAATGATAAAACACATTACAAGACTTAAAAATATGTGGATGATCTAGAGGTTCTGATGGGAAATCTTAACTCCACTATAGTTTTGAAAACGAAATGTTGAAATAAAGCTTACTTCATGAAAGAAATTGATATTGCGGAATATTTTTCATCTCCAAAAATTATAAAGAATCTTGTATATGTAAATTTGTTGTGTAAGAATGGCATTAAGGCTATACTAGAAGTCGATAAGTTAACTCTGTCAAAGAACGAAATTTTTGTTAAGAAGGATTATGTTTGTGATGGAATGTTTAGGTTAAGTATTAATAAAATAAGTTCTTCTGCTTATATTGTTTGTTCTTTTTCTATTTGGCATGCACGTTTTGCACACTTGAAGTTTTGATCTTTAAAGTATATGTGAATTCATGGTTTCATTTCTTACAATGATGATTACAATGATAAATGTGAAATTTGCATTGAATAAAAAATGATTAAGAAACCTTCTCCTAAAGCTGATCGAAATTCAAAACTATTAGAAATAAATCATTTTGACATTTGTGAATTAGATAAAAATTTAACTAGAGGATGCAACTGGCCCCACAACAACAGCGCTGTTAAATCAAGAGTCATAATAAAGTGTTGGGGTTTGAAACCGGGACAATCTTCCTCAGCTAAAAACTTCACCTAAATTGGACTGGTCCATCTTTCTCAAAATGCCCCGCACACACTAAATTCGAGGCCCAAAACCCAAAAACTTGAACCATTCGACATGCGATGGAGAAGAGCGATGTGGGGCTGGTGTTCGCTAGATTTCGTACTTATCCCTTTGACAAATGCAACCATTGAGAATTTGAGATCGACTTGAATTCAATCTGTTAGGGTAAAATCTATTTGGGCCTTATTTTTGGAACGATGAGTGTTGGGCTCAACTTATTTCATACAGTATGAGTAAAACCTTTTAAATATAAGAATTCAAAATGTACATGGGCCTTTTGAGCCTGTTCAAAAGCATAACAAGCCATGGGACATGATTGAGGCACACCATGTTCAATAAAAGGAGCTTAAAAAATAGCTCGAGTTTGATTCTTTTACTTGACGAACAAATTCAATCCGAGCTTGAACTATTCATAATTGTTTATATGAAACAAAAAGAGTAATGCTATTAAAAGAACTCTCTCGTTATCAGAGTATTGAGTTCGCCCTATTTACTATTAGATTTAAAGATTTATTAAATGATCTTTTGATTTTTTACCAATTTAAAAAACCTCTTTCAATTTAGTTAAGTAAAAAGAATTGACAATGAGATGATTCTTTTGATATTACTACTCTAAACAAAAAAATATAAAGTGTCTTGAACCAATAAAGTAGATGAGAGTCATATTTCCCGATCCCCTTAAGTTGTGATATGAGAAAACTTGAAGGAGAGCTGCCTAAATCACATAGGAGGCCAAAAATGTTAGGAATGCTAACACTGATAATTTTTGTACAACCCTTTCAAGAAATTAATAATTATCAAACATATGAAGTACTTGTCCAGAAATAAATAAATAAATACATACAACAAATGATCCTTCTGATGAAAAAAAAAAAAAAAAAGAAATTTTTTTTAGGAAATTCGAAACTTCCTCTTAGCCTAAAGGAACAGAACAGAAAAGAAAAAAGATTCTCCATTATAAAAATAATAATAATTATTGCAAAAAAGAAAAAAAAAAGTACAAACATTAAAATGTGAGCAGAAAAAGTCTGAGCCAACTTATATTGAACTACACAGTCCAATTTGAACTGGGTTTGATTGTCTTACACTTGAAACCCTCTTCAACCCAAGGATTTTTCATTGCTAATATATTGACTGTCACATGATCTGCCTAAATTTGAAATTTTTTGAATTATTTATAGGTTAAAAGATACATACATAAAAGTGACTGACTAAGGAATATCTTTGGGAAAAGTTTGGACATTAGACCTTTTAATTAAATATGTGTGTGTGTGTGTGTGTGTGTGATATATATATATATATATATATATATATATATGTATGTATGTATATTTACATATATAACGTGTGTGCGCGCGAGATGTATCATCAAAATGATAGTTGCAAAAGTTATGAATCTCATTACATATGGGCTTTTAGCTGGAATTTTAAGTATATATACCACTTGTTGAACCAGAAAATATGCAACTGAAATTAAGGGAATCTTCAAAACCTTTCAATGATTAAACAAAGGAACATACCATAACAAAAAATGTCATCAATATATACCTATCATATTAATCATCCAATTTCTTAACTTGTTTCATCAATACACAAAATCAAACTTAATCAGTCCAATTATACTATACAGTTAGTAATAAGGAGCTTTCATCCTTATATGTTAGTGAACAAGCATGACCTTTTTATATTGTGCTTGGAAACGCCGAATCGATAGTATAGATTTAGGATTAGAAAAAATTTAGTTCAAAGTTTTGATTAAATTTTTTTAATTTCAAATCCAAAATGTTGATTCAGTGCTTCCAAATATAACATAAAGCAAATCCTAAAAAGTTTTAAAGGATCATTTCATATATACATATACATATATTTATATATATATACATGATCATACTTTAAAATAATTCATCATGCCTATCAGTAGTACTTTCTTACATTTTGAAGTAGAAGACTGAGAGTTCAAATTTCTACAAGGGGCAAAGAAAAAAGGGTACCTATATTAAAAGCTAAAAGCCATGGCCATTAAGCTTAGAACAGTTGCACAAGTTGTAACAGCAAAAAGGCCTCTTTCTTTGAGCACAACCTTGACCAGGTACACTGCAACATCAGTGGTGATCTTCTTTCCCTCAGAAACAAGAACCCGGCGACGCTTTCCAGCGACGGTTAGGAGAACCAACACGGTGATCCATGTCACGACGGTGGCGCGGAGAGCAACAATGGCCAATGCTGCAACGAGAAAAGCCCCTGCAAGCAGGAGGATCCAAGCATAGAAGGATGAGCAGCCACTGGTGCTGGTCTGGTCATGAGTAGTGTAAGATGAGAGGATGAAGAAGGAAATAAATAGTGAAAACAGGCATGTTGTTTTGGATCTAGTGAGGTTCATATGTACTCTTTCAGGCTTATCTGGAATACAGAGAGGATGTGAGGAAGGAATGAGGGAAGAAGAAGAAGAGGGTTGTTTGTGGTTGTGGGTGTCTTTTTGGCATTGAGTGGTTGTAGAATTTTTTTGGAACTGGAAGCCATGTGCTGCACATGGGACGGTCAATTGTGTTATCTAAGTAGACTAGCACCTACCTCAATAACAATTGGTGTGTGTATATATATATCTATAGATATATACACCAATTGTTATGATTTAGAAAAGCACTAATTGTTATGAAAGGGTTGGTTTAAATTTAAAATTTGAGGAAATTTAATTTAAAATTTTAATTAATTAATTAATTAATTAATTTTTTTTTTTTTGGTGATTTCTAAATGAAAAAAAGTGCCACGAGTCCAAAGCCATCTTGATACTGTGTAAATGCGCTAAGTCGCTAACATCCCATATCATTATTCAACGATTATTATTTGATAAAATTAAAAATTAAGCATTAATCTTTTAAGGGTTGAATTTTGAAATGTAGAAATTTAAATATTAATTATAGATTAAGAATATTTTGACACTCTTTCGAAATTTTAAGTGTTTTAGCCTTCATTATGAGGAAAGTCACAATTACTTAGAATTTCATACTATTATGATGAGGTTTTTTTAATTATTGGGTTATCATACTCACTTTTTAATTTACCCATAATTATTATTTATTTATTTATTATTATTTATTTATTTTAAATTAAGTTTATTAAAACACTTAAAATGAGATGGCTGGATTATTTAATTGGGTTATCCTAAGTAACCAAATGCTGGTCAATTCAACCGACACCATCAGGGCACCTCCATTATGGGGGCTCTTATGGCATGTATTATAAGCAAAGAGGAGTGATTTAGAGAGTTTGATCCAATGGATCATAAAGCTGTTAATACAGAGGCAATGATGAGTTCCTCGTTAGATCATTCATTAAGTGAGTCTCATCATGACATTCGATCGCTCGGAGTCCCGAAATACGATAGCCTGAAATATTCTAGAATTTTCTATGAGAGATGGGGGTGTTGGTGAGTTTGATGTCTTCACACTCTAAACTGCAATTGTTTCATGGGTTGATTAAAATTTAAGATTTTCTATTTGATGGTCAATTGTTGATGATTTAGAGGGTTAAAACACTTGAGGAGTTGTTTAATTTGCTCATCAATTAATTGCCCAAAATAATTTTGTTAATTGATACACTGCGCTTCTTGCAAGTTAACTGTTAATATTTTGAGGATTGTTTTGTCTGAATATAGAATGCCATTGTGATCAATTATAAGATTATACCCTTAGAAGTCTATAAACAAAGAGGTGTCATAATCACATTTCTATAAATCATACATTATTTACCAGGATTTTTTTTTTTTTCCATTAGTCTCAGCTCATCTAATTTCCCATGTCATTTCATATGAGCATCATATATATGCATGTCTGAAATGAGTAGCATTTAAGGTTAACACACAAAGTTTAATTTAATCACTGGTCTTATGGAATATAGTGTACATTTTGAAAGGGATGCTGCTTAAACATCTTCATGATCATGCCATATCAATGGGGATGCTGGAACAATTAACTCTGTCCCTAGCCTTCCTTGCCTGAAAAAATAAAGCAAAGAACAGTTAACGAAAACTATTTCCGTGACCGGCCAATTTTCAGGGAAAGATTCAATTTTATTTACTTGTTGCTCCCAATCTGTGCGCATGGTGATAGCTAAAAGCAACAATGCTTGCACACTAATCCCACTAATGATTCCCATCCAAAGACCCTGCAAAAAACCGGGCCATGAATAACGCTAGAAAGCGCGATAAATGTCAAAAGGAAGAAGGAGCTAGCTAGCTATACATACATTCTTACCTTCCCTCGAAAGTCGAAAACAAAAGTTAAGATAACTGCACAAGGAATGCCCACAAAGTAATATGCTCCTAGATTCACAATTGCACCAATCTTCTGCCTACCACATCCTCTTGCTATGCCTTTTGCATTTCAAGAAATTCCCATGATTGTTAGGATCAATTCTAGGTGGTATATGTTATGAATTAAAAGCCCGAAAAAAAAAATAAATAAAAGAGAGCCCAATTTCAAGAAACTATGTTGTAGGAGGTATATGTTCAAGAAACAATGTGGTATGTTTTTGAGAGGGATAATAGAAGCTCTAACCAGAGAGTGCAGCTTGAATTCCATCCATGAAGTTGGAAGTGGCAAGGACTGGCATTACAGAAGCCAAGTATTTGACAACTTCCTCTTCATTGGTGTACACATAGCCCCAAACGTCTCCTGCTGCAACTGAAACCAAGCCAACTAGGAAGCTTGCTGCAACAGCCAGGAATAACACAACCCGGGCTGCAAGTCGTGCAGCATGTGGTTTCCCTGCTCCTAATTCGTTTGAAACTCTCGTGCTTTGAACCCGAGATACAAGAGTTGAAATTGTCAAAATAATAATCAGAGTACTATAGCTAATGAGGGGTCATGTCGCAGTGTTTAGCAGAACATACCTTACTGCACTGCCTAAACCAAATGAGATTCTGAAGACCACTGCACATGTGTTAAAGCTGGGGAAAGATGATTGAAATTAATTAAAGTGATGCACTTGGAATCATATATACATGAGTAGGTTATCCCAAGTCAATAATAACAACAAATATATTTCAGAAAACAATGTTTTGTTTTCTGATATGTAATCGCGGTGCAAGTGTTTTTTTTTTTTTTTTCCCTGCTGAATTAGAAGTAACAATACTACAGATGCTCCTCATATGCATGGTCAGAACAGTAGAAACAACAGCTGCCCAAATTTTTTGAGAGAAAATTGTTTCTTATCATAGGAAACTCTAAGAACATTTGAGTATATAGAATATTTGAGCATAGGCATCAAGGGGAAAAAAAAAAAAAGTGTACAATTATATATATAAAGATACAAACCTGATTGACATCATTGAGGTCTCTAGCTTTGGATTGGGAAGAAGACCGGACATGAGAACTAAAGATTCGAATGCCCAGTATTCCAAGCTGGTACATGTCACAGAATCAAATTATACATTGACGTTCTTTATAAGTAATTGCTCATTTCGTTAGAAAGATTAGAAATATTAATGTCGGAACTTGGAAGTGTAGGAAGATTCAAACTCACCATAACATAATAGCAGAAGGAATAGCTAATGAAAGAAATCCGACAATATTTTTCATACCCTCCTTAGAAAATCCTGTCCAAGTCCTTTGACATGAAGGCGAAAACTTGATATAAATAGCCAAAATCAGTACATTGATCCAATAAGAGATGGTGTTGGACAGAGCAGCACCTTTGTTACCAAATCCAACCCGAAAAACCAAAGTCCAACACACAAAGACATGAACTAAACTTGTGAAGGCGGTGATCATCATCAATGGCTTTACACTATTTTGAGTCTGCAAGAACCTGAGTTGGCACTGGAGGATGCCATAAGGGAAAATGCTAGGGATCAACCAACGAGCATATATCCCCGCGTGTTCTGAAATCTCCAAGTCTTGTCCACATCTAGTGAAAATGTACCCCGAGTAGGCCCAGAGGACTGATATAGGAATGCTCAGTAGCACAACCACAAGCATAGCTCTCTGCATGTGAATGCCAAGCATATGATACTGCTTTGCTCCGTGGGCTTGTCCACAGAATGTTTCTAGTGCGCTTCCCATTCCCATCTAGTTAAAAATGAAAAATTGAAATGCTAAATGATTCTCTCAAATTTGAGATGTAATCACATTTTGGATCTGCAGTTAGAGAGCATATAACTTCAGCATTTATATTATCTCATCATCGTCTGCTCTAGCCAGATTGTTCTACATGTGTATCAATTATGTTCATCAAGTAGACAATGAGATTTGAACTCGAGACTTTGTCCAATCTAATATCATATGATCCATAATCTACTCTAACAGCTCATGTTTTTAGAGTATATATATGGTGGTTAATAGTTATTTTGCTGTTGTTGCTGTTTATATATATATGTTAGTACTATTATAGAAACTCTTTTAGGAGTTCTAAGTTGCTCCAACTATGGTAGATGTGGTAGATGGTATATAATGAGAGTGGGGACAAATGTGATATATGTATGCCATACATAATAAATGAGTAGATTATTACATCAAGATGACAATGACAAAGACATACTTCCGAAGGGCATCTCTTTAATTTCATCAACATGCTGATAAAATGAAAAGGTTATGAAGCAAGGCAATGATTCAAATTTAGAACTTTGAAAAGTTTTTAATTATCTGAACACAATGAGATGAATACATATATAATGGGATTGATTTAGTGTGTATATTTATGAAGAAAATGTAAAACAAATGAGAGAAAATGGGACATAAAATAAAAAATACAAGAAGAAGCCTTACCATGAAGCTGAAACCTGTCACTCCTGCAAATGAAGTAGCCAGAGAGGCACTCGAAAGGGAAAGTTCTCCAAGATGGCCTACGAACATGACCGATATCATCTGTAGACTGTACTGCAAAAAATTAACCATAACCAGAGGGCCTGCCAACTTCAGTTGCAGTTTGAGCTCTGCAATAGTCTCTGGTATCTGACTACATTTCTTGGTCAGTTCACCACCAAGGTCATGACCCTTTTCATGAATCAGAGGAGATTCAAGAAGAGTGCTGGAGTCTTCTTCATCCATGTTTGACTGTTGCTTGAAGAAATTGGGAGGAGGACTCTGTATGTGAAGGGAAGGGTGAGACAACACCTACAACTTTGGTTAGCTAACTTACATAAATATGAAAAGTGAGGACAACCTCCCAGTGAGCTCGCACCCTCGTCCATTAGATTAGCTGAATTATAAAGCGGATTCAATGGATGAGGTGTTGAAAGTGCTTTCATCATAGACTTGCTCTTTATATGGTCCGAGATTACATTGTACCAGCAAATTGTAACTAAAAAATTAAATAAAGCTGACCTATTTGCTTGATTAAAAAAATGGGGCAATCTCTTGAAGAGCTCACGCCTTGGACCCCTGAATTATACAATGGATGAGACTGCTGAGAGCATTCTCATCATAGACTAGCTCTTTTACCATATATAATTATATATAGGGTAAAGTGCAAAAAAACCCCTAAACTATGAATGTTTTGCAAATAACCCCCCTGAATTACAAGAAACCCCCTTGAAGTATCAATTTGTTGCAATTAAGGACAACAGTAACTTATCCGGTCAAACTCCCTCACCGGAAATCTTAAATGACATTCATTGTAATATTTCCATTTTTCTTCATTTTCCATTTTTTCAGAATTGTTGTTGTTGCAAGGAAATTTTTGTCTTTTCACGTTTTGCGTATCGGACACCGTGGGGTGTGTCGGGAGTGTCAGAGAGTTGGTTGGGGGCATTCCACTTAGTTTAGGTCTCTTGGAAATGTAAGTGTTGTCATTTTTGCATTTTTCTGTTTTTCGGGCCGGACGGTCCCGTGTGGGACCTACTACCGAAATTGTCGCGCATGGGGGTGTTGGTTGGTTCCATTTGCATTTCATTTAGTTTAATTAATGTGCTTTATGTGGTATTTGTTTGGTTTGTGTACATGTGCGTGTGTGGTGGAAAAAGAAAAGAAAAGTCAAAAACTTGAATTTTAAGGGTGGGACCCACTTTCCACTAAAACGTATTAGTGGCAAAGAGGCCTTGTTTGGCCTCAATCTTTCCTCCCACTCCTAGCACTCTATCTCTCTCACTCTTTTTCTTCCATTTTTTCTTTTCTTTTGCATCAAAGCTTCAAACTTCAATTTCTCCCTCATTTGTAGGAACTTTTGGGTGCCGTTTGCGGCAAGACGAAGAACTCAGCGAGATCTTCACATTGATATAAGCAATTTCAGCTTGGGTGCATCCTAGAATTTTCAAATCTAGGGCTTGGGAATTGGGGGTTTTCCATCTTCTTTGAGGTAGGGGTTCCTAATTCACTTTTTCTTGCTCCCTTGTGAATCATCTTACTTGATTTGTTGTCGAGCATGTTAAATTGTGTTAGTTTTCCTTTAAAATGATCAAATTGTTGCAATGAGATATGTGTTTGTGTGTTTTAATTGGTGTTACATGAAATAACATGCTTATATGAATTTAATTCCATGTCTTACTTTCTGACCATGCTAGCATGTTGTTGAAAGAAGTATGTTATTTCTTTAGAACTTCTTGTGAAGCATGCTAAGTAGTAAAATCTTGAAATTGATGTGTGATGATAAAGGTTGATATGACATAAAAGGCATGAAACATCTATGCATTTCATTGGGAAAGAAATGGGAATATGGTTTTGAAAGAAAGAAAAATGGGATTTTGGGAAAGAAGTTTTGAAAGGGTTTTACGAAAACTAGGCCGCCTAGGAGTTACCTAGGGACCGTGGCATTAGTGAGGCCTAGAGGGGACTAGGGAGATCTCCTTAGCATGGTTTAGTCACCTAGGTCCCAAATGACGCCATGGAGTTGCCATGGGTCAGGGACAGTGGCTAACCTTCCTCTCGTGCCACCACGGAGTTGCTATGTGACAGGTTTCACTAACGGTTTGGAAAGGATAATGGAATTGGTTTTGGAAATGGAGAGCAACATCACATGTCATTGCATTTCATTGCACGGCATTTTCACTCATGACTTGGATTATTGACGTTGCTATTGTAGTTATATTCTTCCCGAAAGTGGTATGATCCCAATTCCTTTATTCCTTTTCATTGTGTGGATTCAAAGGGTCCCAAGAGGTGTGCCTTAGGCACCTCCTACTGAGCTTATGCTCACCCATTCATTATAACATTTTTTAGGTTACGGGAAGGAGTTGGTGGATGATAATCCACCACCAGCGTGAAGAGAACAGAAGTGTGTGTCTTACAACCATTTTGTGGACTTGATGCCATTTTGTAAAATGTCATTTTGAACATGTATCAAGTTGTGCAGTATGGCCTTGTAACTTATAACTTTGGGCCTTGACTTCATTTTGATGTAATCCGATAAATTGTAAAGACTAATGTCTAATTCTGGTTCGGATGAAGTAAATGATGTTATAATGTGATCAATTGTTGATGTTTTCATCCATGTTTGTAGTATGATTCATTTCATAATGTTTTGGGACAAACTTAGATCATTTTTCAAAGTCTCCATTGAACTTTAATCATTTCTACAAGAGCAGTTGTTCATTATCAGGCCCAGGGCTCATCAGAGCCATTTCGGTTGACCGAAATGGCACTTCGGTCGACCGATTATTTTCTTGCTCTTGGGACTTTTAGGGTTTGGCTGACCGGTTGGCCATTTCAGTCGACCGGAATAGGAAGCTCACTTCGGCTAACCGAAGCTCCACTTCGGTCGACCGAAATGAAGCTGTTGGGTGTACCTTGTTTCCTTCTCTTGCATGATTAGTCTTTGAACCTTGAAAAGTTACTTAGAACCTTTTTGAAGTATAATTAAGGCATAATGATGATGTGTTGACCTAGACTTGAGGTGTATTGGTGACGCTTTGACACTAGAAGTGATGCAAATGGACTTAGGTGACCACGGGTTCGGGTAAGGACCCGGTTAACGATTCAGACCTCTGGGTTCGGGTTATTACATTCATTCCCTCATACAAAATGACGTAGTTTCATTAAAATTTCATAGGTCTAAATTGAAACCAATGACATGATAGATTGTAATATGAAGAGCCAATAATAAATTAACACCTCAGCAACCACTTTATCAACAACCCTAGGTATAAGGAATGTGAACCACCTCAACTATACCTCATTCTCACTTTGTCTTATTCTCACTTTGCGCCGAATACAACTACTTTGGCTTGGAGACTAGCAAGCTTCTGAAGCCAAGGATCGCGATTAAGAACAAGCAAAAAACTGTAAGCGTGCTTGATTTTTGTTCTTTAATCGGTAAATATATGACTATAAATTACTAAATATTGTGTTAATCCACAAAAATTAGTTGCGATTTACTAATCTCAACTGTTATTATGTTGTTGGGTTATTGTGTTAGGGTTTAATATTATAATTTGATTTGATTTTTCTTTTTGTTTAAACCACAAAAATATGTTGCGATACTATAATTTCTCAAGTGTTCTATTATTTTTTGTTGCAAGAATTTTAGGGTTTAGGATTCTTCTTTGATGTTATTTTTCTTTTGTTTTTTTTATCTGTGAATGCGACGTGATAATGGTGCATCGTTGTATAATTTTTGGTAGAAACATTTGGTTCAACAATGAACATTGTACCAATTTAACGTTGACAATACATGATTTATTATCTAAAGAATCTTGCTGACAAATTATTTAAAAAAATTTAAAGTTTTGTTTTGTTCTCGATCGACAAAAAAAGACTTGTGATATGTGTTTTATGTATAAAGTTATGTTCTTGTTTTTCTTTATTGCATCAAACATTATATATGCTTTCATTATTTGTGTCTTATATGTTATGTTCTGTCATTTAGTGGCCCATTTGTATGTTGTTTTATTATTAAGTGGTCTTTGTTGTTCTTTTTTCTTTTTGTGCTTATTCATTATTAAAGTGTGTAATTGGTTTTGACAATGTTACTGGTGAAGTGGTCCTACTCAAATTAGTTTTTTTCTTTTGTAGTCTTATTTAAGTGCATCCTCTATTACACTTTGTGCTTATTTTTGACCTTTTTTTGTAATACCCCTAATTTTTAAAAGGATATAATTGAAATTTAATTTTTATTTCTTGTGTATTTTAATGGATTATGTGGCTTGATGGTATGTGTTTAATTGAATTAATTGTTCGATTATTTGGCTAATTGTTAATTGTTTATATTAATTGTTTAATTGTTTAATTGTTTGATTATTTGAGTATTATTATTATTAATTGTTTATTTTAATGTTAATACTTGTCATATTATGTTAGGATATTATATATATATATATTTGGTGATCAAGTATAGGATTTTATATGTGTGTGTGTAATTATATTTTTATTTTATTTTCTTTTCTTTTGTGTTAGCCGACTTAATAGGGTTGGGATTAGGGTTGTATAAACCTATATATATGTAAGGTTGTGCTTGCCAAGGGTTTTAGAACCCTGTTCATGTATCAGTGGAGGCAGGGAAAAATACAAAGAGGTTGGAGAGAAATTGAGAGGATCAGTTGGGGTTTTGGCAGTAGAGTGAAGGTCGGACCAAGGAGGAAGGAAGATGGTTGCTTATGGGTTGAACCAGAAGTAGTAGATGGCAGTTAAGGAGTCGTCGAAAATATTAGAGAAGACGGTTTAAGGTTCTAAAACTGAAACCAAAGGCAAGTTCTATTTCTTGCTCTTTTCCTTTGACCTGTGTTCTGTGCATGCCTAGACAGTCTTCGGGAACTAAACGGACATTAATATTGATTAAGTATGCATGTTAATTTAGACTTTAAATTATATTATGTGTTGTTAAATTGAAATTGATTTATAGCATAAATTGTTTCATATTATGTTTTAATTCTTGTTAATGATGCATACTATGTTGTATGAATTTCTGGGATTAATTGGGTCACAGATTTAAGTCTAGGAACCTTAATAAAATAACTACAGAGGGTTCTAGACATTGCCGGAGGCGAAGAAGATGACGGAAATAGGTAGACTGCTTTTAAGGGAGAGAGAGACGGCTCCTTAATGGAGGGAGCCGGCTCCCTCATGGACAGAGCAGGCTCCCACTTGGAGGGAGCTGGCTCCCAGCACTACAGAGCCGGCTCCCACTTGTGGGGAGACGGCTCCCAAGAGGACAGAGCTTGCTCTTGCGCTGGAACTTGCAGAAATTGATTTTTTTTTTTTTTAAGTTCTGTTTGGCAGTTTGGGTTGTTCCAATGGCATTGTGACAATTTAGATGAATTAAATGGTTGAGATGATGGGACTAACTCCTACAATGCATAATCTACATTAACAGGTTAATGGACTTGAACAATACGACACTTTAAATAGGTCTGCGTATTGTTATTGAAGGAATTAAACTGCTTGCTATTATTTAGAAATTTAAATGGAGGAATAATGGAGTTAAACTAATTCAATCAATTAATTGAATTTAAATAGTTTAACTATGTCTTGGAGGTTAAAATAATCTATTTGAGATGCATGGTAATTTATGATTGTAAAAATTAAATGCATTCTACTTAGAGTTATTATTTTGCTCGAGCACATATCAGATTTTTATTATGCTTGCTCTGGACTATGATTGATGAACTGTTTAATTCTGTTTCTATCAATTATATGGATTTTGTGGATTATATGCACCAGTATGAGACGGTTGCATATTAGGTACGAATTAGATCAAAATGCTAACTTCTACCTATTCTGGATTTTAATTGTTGAACTGATTCATCTGTTTTATCAATTATTGGTTTGTTTTGTGGATTGTATGCACCAGTATGGGACGGTGGCATATTAGGGACGGATTAGATCAAAATGTTAACTCCTATCTCTTCTGGAATAAGGGAATGGATTAATTATAACATTTAAATCCTACTTATATTTCGTGTCATGGCAAAAAACAGTTGAGCGGCACTACTTTGGTTTGGATGGATTTTAAATATATTTTTATGGTACCTCGATATGAGCTTGAGTCTCATGATCGACGGTTAGGGAGCGTATATGCATTGGGATGGATAGCTGGTTATGATGGTTTAAGGTGTACCCTGCTAGGTGTAGGTACTCATGCTCACTTCAGGTGCGTTTTGCATGTTGCCTACTAGTCAGGTTGAGACCGGCCTGTAGTCCAATGAGAGTTCTTTAGTGTGGATATATATATAGTTATAGACTATATAGTTATTGTTGAGTTACCTAGGATGTATTTGCGTATCGGGTCTCTGCTTGGACCATAATAGAGTAGAACTTATTTGTGGGCCTGAACAACTATTATTTTTCAGGTATTCGTCAAGAGTAGGGATTGTTCGTGCTGAGCATGGATCATCTACTTCACTCTTCCGGATTATGTTATTTAGGAGTTTCTTTATATTTTAGTTTTCTGATGTAGACAGTTTCTGCTGTCATTTGGTTAGTTTGGTTTTCTAAGGGTCCACATAGTATGGATTCCCGAGTTGTATAAGATGGAGGATTATTTGTATCAGAAAAATTTATTAATAAAATTTTATTATGAGGATTTATTAATGGATTATTATTTTAGTTTCTTTCAGTCATTTTTTTATTCTTATTATCTATTTTGTACTCTGTGTTCGATTATTACCAGTTTGTTTTGATATCCTCGGGTAATCGGGCGTGAGTCTGGCCAACCCGCATTCGGAGATCTGGGGGTATCATATTTTTGAAATCTCAACAACCTTTTTAGTTGTTTACTTTAATGTGTGATTAAAATATTTGGTTAACTTTTTTAATTGTTTACTTTCAAGTGTGATTAAAGTATTTGGTTTATGTGAGTTTTTGTTATGTAGATGCACTTTTACAACATTGAACTCCATCGTGTATATATACCACTTATTGAATCGCTTCCATATGGCCTTTTAGTTTGAATTTTAAGTACATATACCACTTATTGAACCAGAAAATATGCAACTGAAATTAAGGGAATCTTCAGAACCTTTCAATGATTAAACAAAGGAACATACCATAACAAAAAATGTCATCAATATATACCTATCATATTAATCATCCAATTTCTTAACTTGTTTCATCAATACACAAAATCAAACTTAATCAGTCCCAATTATATCATACAGTTAGCAATAAGGAGCTTTAAACAAGCATGGCTTTTATATTGTGCTTGGAAACGCTGAATCGATAGTTTAGATTTAGGATTGGAAAAAATTTAGTTCAAAGTTTTGATTAAATTTTTTTTCAATTTCAAATCCAAAATATTGATTCAGTGTTCCCAAATATAGCATAAAGCAAATCCTAAGAAGTTTTAAAGAATCATTTCATATATATATATATATACACACACATACATAATCATACTTTAAAATAATTCATCGTGCCTATCGGTAGTACTTTCTTACATTCAAATAGAAGACCGGGAGTTCAAATTTCTGCGAGGGCAAAGAAAAAAGGGTACCTATATTAAAAGCTAAAAGCCATGGCCATTAAGCTTAGAACAGTTGCACAAGTTGTAACAGCAAAAACGCCTCTTTCTTTGAGCACAGCCTTGACCAGGTACACTGCAACATCAGTGGTGATCTTCTTTCCCTCAGAAACAAGAACCCGGCTATGCTTTCCAGCGACGGTTAGGAGAACCAACACGGTGATCCATGTCACGACAGTGGCGCGGAGAGCAACAATGGCCAATGCTGCAACGAGAAAGGACCCTGCAAGCAGGAGGATCCAAGCATAGAAGGATGAGCAGCCACTGGTGCTGGTCTGGTCATGAGCAGTGTAAGATGAGAGGATGAAGAAGGAAATAAATAGTGAAAACAGACATGTTGTTTTGGATCTAGTGAGGTTCATATGTACTCTTTCAGGCTTATCTGGAATACAGAGGGGATATGAGGAAGGAATGAGGGAACAAGAAGAAGATGGTGGTTTGGGGTTGTGGGTGTCTTTTTGGGCATTGAGTGCTTGTTGATTTTTTTTTTGAAATTGGAAGCCATGTGCTGCACATGGGACGGTCAATTGTGGTAGCTCAGTAGACTAGCACCTACCTCAATAACAATTGGGGTATAACAATTGGGTATATATATATATATAGACACCAATTGTGTGTGTGTATATATATATTCAGACAAATTGTTGTGATTTACAAAAGCAGTAATGTTACATTTGGAATATCAAATTAGAGGAATTTTAATTTAAAATTTTAACTAATTTTTTTTATTTCTAAATTCATGTCCCTGATTTGGTACTGTGTACGATGTGACGGAAAAAAGTGTCACGAGTCCAAAGCCATGACAACTCATACTATTATTAAACAATTGTTATTTGATAAAATTGAAAATGAAGTACTAATTTTTTAAGGGCTGAATTTTGAAATGTAAAAATTTAAATACGGAGTATTAATTATAGATTAAGAAAATTTTTACACTTTCAAAAATTTAAGTGTAAAAATTAGGTTAAAATCGTTCATTAAGATGGCTTTGGACTCGTGACAAGTTAGAGAAGTGTTCATAGAGAGGAAAGTCTCAATTACTTAAAATTTCATACTACTATTTTAACCTCATAATGAACGCTTTTCTAAATTGGCCCACCTCAACTTTTAAAATTTTGTATTTTTGTATGTATAATTCTTTAAAATTTTAAAATTGTTCTCTCAAAATTTTTTTTATTGCATTGTACACCCTTGACACAATTTCTGCCTCCGTCCCTGAGAGGTATCACATGTCAAAATACCGCTGGAGTATTGTAACTTCTCTGATAGCTCTTGTGCTTAAAGCTTATGCTTCCTACTTAGCACAAAGTTTAATATAATCACTGGTCTTATGGAATATAGTGTACATTTTGATAATTTGTATCATCAAACTTCCATATATGTCTTAGAGTGGAAGGGATGCTGCTTAAACATCTTCATGATCATGCCATATCAATGGGGATGCTGGAAGAATTCACTCTGTCCCTAGCCTTCCTTGCCTGAAAAAATAGTGCAAAGAACAATTAACGAAAACTATTTCAGTGACCGGCCAATTTGAAGGGAAAGATTCAATTTAATTTACTTGTTGCTCCCAATCTGTGCGCATGGTGATAGATAAAAGCAGCAATGCTTGCACACTAATCCCACTAATGATTCCCATCCAAAGACCCTGCAAAAAACCGGGCCATGAATAACGCTAGAAAGCACGATAAATGTCAAACGGAAGAAGGAGCTAGCTAGCTATCTATACATTCTTACCTTCCCTCCAAAGTCGAAAACAAAAGTTAAGATAATTGCACAAGGGATGCCCACAAAGTAATATGCTCCTAGATTCACAATTGCACCAATCTTCTGCCTACCACATCCTCTTGCTATGCCTTTTTCATTTCAAGAAATTCCGATGATTGTTAGGATCAATTCTAGGTGGTATATGTTATGAATTAAAAGCCCTAATTTTTATTTTTTATTTTTTAAAAAGGAGCCATTTTCAAGAAACTATGTTGTAGGAGGTATATGTTCAAGAAACAATGTGGTATATATGTTTTTGAGAGGGATAATAGAAGCTCTAACCGGAGAGTGCAGCCTGAATTCCATCCATGAAGTTGGAAGTGGCAAGCACTGGCATGACAGAAGCCAAGTATTTGACAACTTCCTCTTCATTGGTGTACAGATAGCCCCAAACGTCTCGTACTGCAACTGAAACCAAGCCAACTAGGAAGCTTGCTGCAACAGCCAGGAATAACACAACCCGGGCTGCAAGTCGTGCAGCATGTGGTTTCCCTGCTCCTAATTCGTTTGAAACTCTCGTGCTTTGAACCCGAGATACAAGAGTTGCAATTGTCAAAATAATATTCACAGGGTACTATAGCTAATGAGGGGTCATGTCGCGGTGTTTAGCAGAACATACCTAACTGCACTGCCAAAACCACATGAGATTCTGAAGACCACTGCACTTGTGTTAAAGCTGGGGAAAGATAATTGAAATTAATTAAAGTGATGCACTTGGAATCATATATACATGAGTAGGTCATCCTAAGTCAATAATAACAACAAATATAGTTCAGAAAACAACGTTCCGTTTTCTGATATGTAATTGCGGTGCAAGTGTGTTTTTTTTTTTTTTTTTTTTCCTGCTGAATTAGAAGTAAAAACTACTACAGATGCTCCTCATATGTATGGCCAGAACAGTAGAAACAACAGCTGCCCAAATTTTGAGAGAAAATTGTTTCTTATCATAGGAAACTCTAAGAACATTTCAGTATATATATAGAATATTTGAGTATAGGCATCCAGGATAATATATATATATATATAAAGATACAAACCTGATTGACATCATTGAGGTCTCTAGCTTTGGATTGGGAAGAAGACCAGACATGAGAACTAAAGGTTCAAATGACCAGTATTCCAAGCTGGTACATGTCACAGAATCAAATTAGACATTGATGTACTTTATAAGTAATTGCTCAATTTGTTAGAAATATTACAAATACTAATGTTGGAACTTGGAAGTGTAGGAAGATTCAAACTCACCAGAACATAATAGCAGAAGGAATAGCTAATGAAAGAAATCCGACAATATTTTTCATACCCTCTTTAGAAAATCCTGTCCAAGTCCTTTGACATGAAGGCGAAAACTTGATATAAATGGCCAAAATCAGTACATTGATCCAATAAGAGATGGTGTTGGACAGAGCAGCACCTTTGTTACCAAATCCAACCCGAAAAACCAAAGTCCAACACACAAAGACATGAACTAAACTTGTGAAGGCGGTGATCAACATCAATGGCTTTACACTATTTTGAGTCTGCAAGAACCTGAGTTGGCACTGGAGGATGCCATAAGGGAAAATGCTAGGGATCAACCAACGAGCGTATATCCCCGCGTGTTCTGAAATCTCCAAGTCTTGTCCACATCTAGTGAAAATGTACCCCGAGTAGGCCCAGAGGACTGATATAGGAATGCTCAGTAGCACAACCACAAGCATAGCTCTCTGCATGTGAATGCCAAGCATACGACACTGCTTTGCTCCGTAGGCTTGTCCACAGAATGTTTCTAGTGCGCTTCCCATTCCCATCTAGTTAAAAATGAAAAATTGAAATGCTAAATGATTCTCTCAAATTTGAGATGTAATCACATTTTGGATCTGCAGTTTATGTTATCCACATACTCTAAAAAGGTTTAAGTGTTAGAGAGCGTTTAACTTGAGCATTTATATTATCTCATCATCATCTGCTCTAGCCAGATTGTTCTACTTGTGTATCAATTATGTTCATCAAGTAGACGATGAGATTTGAACTAGAGACTTTGTCCAATCTAAAATCATATTATCCATAATGTACTCTAACAGCTCATGTTTTAAGAGTATATATATGGTGGTTAATAGTTTATTTTGCTGTTGTTGCTGTATGTATATATATATATGTTACTATTATAGAAACTCTTTTAGGAGTTCTAAGTTGCTCCAACTATGGTAGATGTGGTAGATGGTATATAATGAGTGTGGGGACAAATGTGATATATGCATGCCATACATAATAAATGAGTAGATTACATCAAGATGACAATGACAAAGACATACTTCTGAAGGGCATCTCTTTAATTTCATCAACATGCTGATAAAATAAGAAGGTTATGAAGCCAGGCAATGCATCAAATTTAAAAGTTTGAAAAGTTTTTAATTATCTGAACACAATGAGATGAATACATACATAATGGGATTGATTTAGTGTGTATATTTATGAAGAAAATGTAAAACAAATGAGAGAAAATGGGACATAAAATTAAATATACAAGAAGAAGCCTTACCATAAAGCTAAAACCTGTCACTCCTGCAAATGAAGTAGCCAGAGAGGCACTTGAAAGAGAAAGTTCTCCGAGATGGCCTACGAACATGACCGATATCATCTGTAGACTGTACTGCAAGAAATTAACCACAACCAGAGGGCCTGCCAACTTCAGTTGCAGTTTGAGCTCTGCAATAGTCTCTGGTATCTCACTACGTTTCTTGGTTAGTTCACCACCAAGGTCATGACCCTTTTCAGGAATCAGAGGAGATTCAAGAAGAGTTTTGGAGTCTTCTTCATCCATGTTTGACTGTTGCTTGAAGAAATTGGGAGGAGGACTCTGTATGTGAGAGAAGGGTGAGACAACACCCACAACTTTGATTAACTAACTTATATAATTAGGAAAGGTGAGGACAACCTCCCAGTGAGCTAGCGCCCTTGTCCATTAGATTAGCTGAATTATAAAGCGGATTCAATGGATGAGGTGTTGAAAGTGCTTTCATCATAGACTTGCTCTTTATGTGGTCTGAGATTACATTGTACCGGCAAATCGTAAGTAAAAAATTAAATAAAACTGACATATGTGGTTGGTTAAAAAAATGGGGCAATCTCTTGAAGAGCTCACGCCATGGACCCCTGAATTATACAATGGATGAAACTGCTGAGAGCATTCTCATCATAGACTTGCTCTTTTACGATATATAATTATATATAGGGTAACATGCAAAAAAAACCCCCCTAAACTATGAGAGTTTTGCAAATAACTACTTTGAATTACAAGAAACCCCCTTGAAATATTAATTTGTTGCAATTAAGGACAACAGTAACTTATTCGGTCAAACTCCCTCACCGGAAATGTTAAATGACATTCATACCCTCATACAAAACGACGTAGTTTCATTAAAATTTTATAGGTCTAAAATGAAAACAATGACATGACAATTGTAATCTGAAGAGCCAATAACAAATTGACACCACCGAAACCACCTTATCAAGGAATGTGAACCACCTCAGTTATATCTCATCCTCACTTTGCGCCGAATACAACTATTTTGGCTTGGAGGCCACCAAGCTTCTGAAGCTAAGGATCGCAATTGAGAACAAGCCAAAAATTGTAAACGTACTTGATTTTTGTTCTTCAATTAATCGGTAAATATATGACTATTAATTACTAAATATTGTGTTAATCCACAAAAATTAGTTGCAATTTACTAATCTCAACTATTATAGTGTTGTTGGGTACAATTTTGTGTCTAAAAAATGTTAGGGTTTAATATTATAATTTTATTTTATTTTTCTTTTTGTTTAAATCACGAAAATCAATTGCGATACTATCATTTCTCAAGTGTTCTACTATTTTTTGTTGCAAGAATGTTAGGGTTTAGGATTCTTTTTTGCTGTTATTTTTCTTTTGTTTTTTTCATCTATGAATGGGACGTGATAATGGTGCATGGTTGTATAATTTTTGGCAGAAACATTTGGCTCAACAATGAACATTGTACCAATTTAACGTTGACAATACATGATTTATTATCTAAAGAATCTTGCTCACAATTTTTTATTTAAAGTTTTGTTTTGTTGTCGACCAACAAAAAAAAGACTTGTGATATGTGTTTTATGTATAAAGTTGTGATCTTCACTATATATGCTTTCACTATTTGTGTCTTATATGTTATGTTCTGTCATTTAGTGGCCCATTTGTATGTTGTTTTATTATTAAGTGGTCCTTGTTGTTCATTTTTTTTGTTTGTGCATATTCATGATTAAAGTGTGCAGTTGGTTTTGACAATGTTACTGGTGAAGTGGCCCTGCTCAAGTTTGTTTGTTTTTTTTTTTTTTGTACTCTTATTTAAGTGTATCCTCTATTGCACTTTTTGACTTTTTGTGCTTCTTATTGACCTTTTTGAAATCTCAACAACCTTTTTAGTTGTTTACTTTAATGTGCGATTAAAGTATTTAGTTAACTTTTTTAATTGTTTACTTTCAAGTGTGATTAAAATTTTTGGTTTATTTGGGTTTTTGTTATGTAGATGCACTTTTACAGCATTGAACTCTATCATAGGGGTGTGTTCTCTAAAATACCCCCTATGTCATACATAGGAGAAAATTTCATTATGATTCCAACAGTTGACCCAGACATCATGTCATATGATGATTTTCAAGAGATGAAAAATAACATGGGATATGGGGAGTTGGTTGAAGTGTTTTACAAAGTACCGTTTTTAGAGGGCAATCAAAGCTTCAGAGAAGTTAGATGTGACTTGGATGTACTTAGGATGTTTTATGACTATGAAACAACCACCATTAAGTTGTACATTGTTGCACCTTTGTTGAATGTGCAAGGGGAAGAGATTTGGCTTCCAACAGATAACTTAGACTCAAATAGGTCAAATAATGATATTTCAAAATAGGATTTAGATTATGCTTCTAGTGATGAGTTAATCAGTTTTTGTGGATCAAATGAGGAGGATAGTAGTCCTAAGTACCCAAAGTATATTCCTTCAAGGGATTTGGATGTAAAAGAACTAGAATTAGGAATAAAATTTGGGACAGCTGCACACTTTAAATTGACATTTAAAGAAACATCATTGAAAGGCAGGTTTGATATAACGTTCAAAAAAAATGATGGTGATAGGATCTCTACAGTATATAAGGCTGAATGTGGGTGGAAGGTATATGCAAGCAAACTAGATGGTGAGGATTGCTTGATAGTGAAGACCTATCAATCAGAACATACCAACTGCTTTTGGTTTCATAGTAATGGACAAACATCCTTTTTTTTACTTGGTCACTAAGTACTTAGAGCAAATGAGAATGAACAACCATGCCTTGTGATGCACTAAGGACCACTATTGCTTCTGATATGAACATTGATGTGTCCAAACACAAAGTAAGAAGGGTAAAAAGAAAAGTTATTGAAGTCATTGAGGGAAATGAAGAAGAACAATATCAAAAGAAGAGGGAATACTATCAGTTAGTAGATACATCGAACCCTAGAAGTGTTGTTAAAATTCAAACTGACCCCACATGTGAAGAGAATGTGAGGAGATTTGCTGCAATGATAAAGGGTTTTAAAGAAAGTTGTAGGCAACTTATTGGTGTTTATGGTTAATTTTTGAAGGGTTCATATGGTGGCCACCTTTTGAGTGCAATATCTATTGATGGGAATGAACAAATGTTCCTAATTGCAATTGCAGTAGTTGAGGCTGAGACAAGGGGTTATTGGAGTTGGTTTATGACAGGACTGATGGAGGCTATGGGGCCTCATATTGACATCACATTCATATCTGATAAATAAAAAGGTCAGTATTTTACTACTCCCTCCGTCCCAATATAGTTGTCCATTTCGTAAACTGTGACTCACACTTCGTAAACTGTGACTCACATTGTGAGTCACAGTTTACGAAGTGGACAACTATATTGGGATGGAGGTAGTACAATATTTTATTTTAAAATTTGTTATTTTACTATAATTTGTTATTAATGCAGGGATTGATTGAAACTTTTGAGCATATCATGGAGGGTTCAGTCTATTGATATTATGTGAGGCATTTATATGAGAACTTCAAACTCAGATTTAAAGGGCAGCAGTGTAATACCCCGATATTTTAAATGATTTATTAAATTGGGATTAATTACTTTTATTTTATTTTTAAATGATTTATTTGATTTAAATTAAATTAATTGCGTTTATTTTAAGTTTTAATTGATTTGTTTTATTGGGTGCTTAGATTAATTGTTTTATTTTATTTATATTTCATGAATTATTGATATGATGATCGTTGTGTGTGTGCTTAATTATTGATTCAATTGTTGGCGTGTTGATTTTATTGGTATAATATGACTTAGTTGTAAATTCTTGTTTGTTTATGTGCTTTATGTAATAAGTTATTTTAATTTAAGTGTTTATTTAATTATTTTATTTTTTAAAATTAATTGGGTTAGGCTTAAGGAAAGTTGGACCAAAGGATATGGTTTTGGGCTTGGATAAAGCCTTATTGGGTTAATTAATAAAGGCTCATGGTTATGTGATTATTTAAATGATCGTTTTTGGATAATTATATATATATATATATACCTTTTATAATTAATCATTAGTTAATTAAATCGTATATATCTATATATATCAATAACTAATTAACTAATAGATATATATAGATATATACGATTTAATTAACGAATGATTAATTATAAAAGGTATAAATATATATATATATATATAAATATTATTTAAAGATAAAAATTATTATTTTTATTTGGTAATCCTAGTAGGAATAGGGTTAGGGTAATTAATGTGTATAAATATACACATAAGGTTTTATTATTGAAAATTTTTCACGTTAGAAAATAGAAAAGGTAGAGAGAGAGAAGAAGAGAAGGCTGACAAGGAGGATGCTGGATCTGAAAAAAGAGGACGTTGGATTTGGAAGAGACGATTAATGCTTGAAGCGTCGGTTTCGTTTTGAAACCTTCAGGTGAGTTTTCTCTATTTTTCCTCCTTAAACTCATAAGTATTTCACCTTAAGTATCAATGTTTTAGATTAAATTTATTAATTTAAATCATGATTAGAACAGATTAATCAAATACATTAAGTTAATTTTGTTTGATTAAATCAGGATTTAATCGAAATGGTTAAAAGCATGAATTATTATTATTTAATATTTTTTGGAGTTTTAAGGTTTAATTGTAATATATAGGTGTTGTGTATATTTTAAATCAATTTATAGGTTATTTATGACCTAAGATGGTTATTTATGGTTTTCGGAATTTCTGAAATTTTTCTTAAATTTTCTGGAATTTTCTGATATTTTTGGGAATTTATTAGAATTTATTTTTATATATTTATTGGATATATATATATATATATATATTATTTATACATATATACTCACCGGAGGCGTCCGTAAGAGTGGCGCAATAATTGGGTTGTAATCCAGTGTGGGATGGTGCATGGAATGATGGTGCGTACGCTGCTCTAGACTGTTGAAAGAGTTTGATATAAGTGGATTGATTTGGTGCATCGCGGCGCATTGAAGTATGGTGCGCATATGAATCTGGACCATGGATTAGCTTTGGTCAATAGAAGATTGATCTGGTGTGGGTGTATACATGTGAGCTCAGGTGAAATAATTTGGTGTGGGTGCATACATGTGAGCTCAAGTGAGCTAATCTAGTGTGGGTGCATTTGTGTGAGCTCAATGATATAATCTGGTGTGGGCGCTCTCACATTAGCGTCTGAGCTCAGCCTATTTTTTTCCATGTTTGTGACATAAAATTGAAACGGTCATAACTCAATCATTTTAAATCGAAATTGGGTCATTCTTGAGCTCAAATTTAAGGATTTTTCGTCCTCTTTCCAATGGTACCAATTTCATTCTTAGATTCCCATCATACTAAAAGATATTTACATTTTAGTGAGACGGTGTCGTAAAATTATTTAAACCGAGATGGAGTATTTATGTGCTTTCTGACATATTTAGTAGCATTTAATTTGCTACTAATATAATAAATTAATAATTGGTTATGGAATGATGATATATATATATATATATATATATATATATATATATATATATATATAATTGTTGATATATATATATGTACATGTGATTTTAAATAATTAAGGATTATTAAGGAAGGATTATACACATATATTATATAATATA